ATTTACTTTATAATCACAATGTAATCCTCCACTAAATAAATAATACAACAAGTAGTAAGTAGAAATCACTGTTCCTCAGGAGTATAGCCAAGAGCTGTAAACAATAATCAAATCTTAAGATGTGAATTTCGCTCATATACATTTTTTTGTGCTCTGTATATTACCACAGATCAGGGAAAACATGATATTTGTCTTTTTTGGGACTGTCTTATTTCACCTAGCATAAACATCTCCAATTGTGTCCATTTTGTTGGGAAAGACTGGATTTCATTCTTTTTTATGGCTGAGTCATATTCCATAGTGTATATATACCACATTTTTTTAATCCAGCCATCAGTTGATAGACATCTGAGTTGATTCCATATCTTAGCTATTGTGAATTGAGCTGCTTTAAACATGGGGGTACAGATAACTCTTTCCTATGATGATTTCATTTCCTTTGGGTAAATTCCCAGGGATGGCTAGGTCATATGGTATAACTATTTTCAACTTTCTGAAGAACCTCCATACTGTCTTCTATAATGGTTCTTATGCCTTCCTAACATTTGGTTGATGGGAGCGGAGCAACAGAATCTCCCCAGCTTGCCTTCCAGGGCTGCCAGCATGAAGTATTTTTCCTGAAAGCAATGGGGAAAGTATAAGTGCTACACAAACACGGTCTTTTTAAGTTATTAGAGCATTCATTGGTTCAGTAACCAAACCCCTAGGTGAGAACACAATAAAGACTGGACTAGAACCATCTTGACCCAACCATCTGGGGTCTGGGGAAGGGTGTGGTTGATTTAAAAAAATTAGTTTAGGGCACAGTGGCATAGCAGGTAAAGCCACTGCCTGTGACACCGGTATCCCATATGAGCGCCAGCTGATGTCCTGGTTGTTCCACTTCCCATCTAGCTCCCTGTTAATGTGCCTGGGAAAAGCAGTGGAAGATAGCCTAAGTGTTTGGGCCCCTGCCACCCATGTGGGAGACCTGGATGAAGCTCTTGGCTCCTGGCTTTAGCCTGGCCCAGCTGTGGCCATTGCAGCCATGTGGAGAGGGAACCAGCAGATGCAAGATCTCTCTCTCTGCCTCTCCCTTTGTTTCTGTAACTCTGCCTTTCAAATAAATAAATCTTTAGAAATTATTTTAGAAAAGATTTATTTGAGAGGCAAAGAGAGAAAGAGAGAGCGAGCGAGCGAGCCCTCTTTTGCTGGTTCACTGTCCACATGCCCAAAGTTAGGAGCCAGGAGCTGGGATCTCAGTCCAGGTCTCCTTGTGGGTGGTAGGAACTCAATTACTTGAGCCATCACTCCTGTTCCTGTTCTATATTGGCAGGAAGCTGGAGTCAGGAGCTGGAACCAGGACATGAACCCAGGTTCTTGCATGTGGGGTGTGAGCATCTTAACTGCTGGGCTAAACTCTGCCTCTAGGGTGGTAGAGCTTTATCATACTACCCCCAGAAGGCTAAGGATAGCCCTCAAACACCATAGGCTTTTCCAGAAAACCACACTGCATCTAACATCCACATATCCATCCATCCACCCACCCACCCATCCATCCATCCATCCAGTAGGCCTATATGAGTGTATTTATGGCTAGGCACCCTGCTCAGAGGTGGGGATGCAGACGAAATTCGATCCCCCTTTCTGCTCTCAGGGAGTGTCCAGAGCCAGGGAAGGACAGCCGTATCAAACATCAGTCATTACCTCTCTTAAGCCCATCTCCAGTGCATTGTACCTTTGGGGGATAGCAACTTCCATGGACCATAGATGATGGAATTTTAAAGCTGAGTGATCCTGGAAATCATCTCTTCCAGCTCACTGATTCCACTGATGGGGACACTTACTTATTTGTTGTGAAAAGGATGGCGACTTCGGCCTCTTCTAGGTCTCAAGTGCAAACGTCCTTAAGCCCGGCGTCCTACTTATTTTCCAGCTTCTGTGGCGTAGCTGCAGATCGGGAGAGGAAGAAGACATCCCTCGGGCCCTCCGGGAGCGGGCGGAGTCGGGGAGAGGACCACCGCCAGGGAGGAGGCGGTGCTGCCGGCCCTGCGCGCTGAGGGTCCCGGGCTTAGGCCCGGGGAGTTGGGGGCAGGCGTCTTGGAAAGGGGCTTTGGGTTTCCAGTGCAAAGGGAACCTGGAGGGATGAGACTGTCAGGGAAGGGCGTGCGGGAGAGGGAGCGGGAGCGGAGGGAGCAGAGGCGCGGGGCGTGGAAGAGCGCGTGGCTTGTGCGCGACCTACAACACAGTCGGTGAGGCTGGGACCTACGAGGGAGGCGCGAGGGGGGATGAGGCTGGGAGGAGGGCAGGGGCCAGCAGCAAAAGCAGACCCATGGCGGAGCTGGTACATCCGAAGGCCGCCGCTGCCCCCTGGTTCTGGTGAACGTGTCCTTGTTCCCTCCCCCTTTGCTTGCTGCGAGGAAGAATCCATCCGCCTTTCATTTTAGGGGCAGTCTGAGGAGTTGCTGCCCCTCCCTCGCCGTATGACCCGAGTCCCACCCCCTCCGGGAAGCCTCCCTGGACTGCCCTCTGCCTTCCGTGGACTCAGCTGTCTCCGCCAGGCTTTGGGATCTGACTGTTGCTCTTGGCCACCCTTCGGGTGTGCAGCGGGACTGTGGGATCCTGAGGGTTGACCCCGGGCATCTCGTGGTAAAGTTGGGGAACAGAAGCAGTGCTCCCCCCATCCACCTGGTGTAGGGGCCCTTATTTACTTCCATTTTGTAGGGTAGGGAGCAGCGGACCTCGAGGTCATCTTGTCTGGTCGTGCAGCTTTCCCATGGCCTAGAGCGGCCGTGGCCTGGCTCTGACTCCAGAGTCCTGGCTCTACCCAGGGCACTGTCCTCCTCCTGCTCTTGGCGGGGCAGCTGCGATGAGGGGTGTGAGCTACCTCGGTGGCTTCGGCTGTCAGGCTCCAGCCCATTCCCAGGTGGGCCCTTGGTTTCTGGCTGTGGCACAGTTTGGGCCCCTCCCAGGCTGCTTCTCATCCCCACTCACAGGGGCAGCCCCTTTGGAGCCCAGGGGCACTGTCGGAAGGACTGTGGCAGGGGGCCAGCCAGGAGGCCAGCACTGGCGGGAGGCAGGTCCGGGGGTGGGGGACCAGAAGTGCCTGGGCCTGGAGTCTGTTCCCACAAACTGAATTTTCACAGCGCAGAAGCTGTACCCAGCCCTGGAAACAGATACTAACAGCATGTGTCTGCTAATAACATAGTAATGATAATTTATTAGGAAATCATTCAACCTAAATATGTGATCTGGAGCCTTGAACCAAACAGGTGGCTCTGTTAAGAGATGGAAGAGAGGCAGAGAAATTAAGGAGCCAGAAGGGGAGGCAGAGCACGCGGTGGGGGGGGGTACTGGAGGGGCTGCATAGTCTTGGGAAGACATGTGAGGCCCAGGCTTGCATCTGAGCCCAGCGCTGTGACTCGCAGTGTGTGTGTGTATGTGTGTGTGTGTGTGTGTGCGCCTGCGTACGTGTCGGGGATGACTCCATTTCTGATGACGACACTCCTCAAGAGTCCCGCACAGGAGTAGTGAGTCAGGTATGTGGGGTTGCAATACCTTGTATTGCAAGTACTGCTTGGGACCTGGGGGGAGTGGGGAGGTGGGCACCAACACGCAGAGGGCACTCTGGGCTCCTTTGGTGGGAACTCTGCCCCCCCCCCCCGCCTGCCCCTGGCCACTAGCGACTCACCATTCAGTGGAGTCGCTTGAGGAGCTCTCTGTGAGCATGAGCCAGGGTGTGCACACACTCACATACGTAGGCACGCATTTGTATCTGTGTGTGTGTGCATGGCTCTCCTGCCCGTCCCTCCTCCATCTATGGAAGGAGTTGGACAGAGACCAAAGCATGATGAGGAATCCACACCCAGACAGGAAGATGCCTGCCTCTTACGGCCCCAGGTGTGCCCAGGGAATTCCGTCATGGTGTCTTTTTCTCTGATCCCTAAGACTGCCGAGGTTAAAAATGGAAATAAATTCTACTCTTGCCCCATCCCTTTGGAACCCCCTCTGTACACAGTGGGAGCTTAATAAATACTTGATGGTGATGATTCTGAACCCGGGAAGCCAGCAGCTGTTCTGAGCTCCGACTCTCTGAGCCCCCTGGGGCAAATCAGGCAGGGGCGACCATGGGTGGTGTTTTTTCTTCCTGCCAGACCCTCTGGTGATCCCGAGTCTGGCAGCTGGGGCACGGTCCACTTCACGCATCCCATTTTGGGGAGGCTGCTTCTCCCCAGACTTCTTCTTTTTGGCTCTTTTCCATCAATCACTTTAAGGACATTTATTGAAAGACTACTTAGTGCTGAGCAGCCTGGGTGACAGTGTAGGAGCCACGTGTCAGACTGACCTAAGCTCAGATCCTAGCACCTTGGACTACAAGCAGGACAACCTCTGGCAAATTACCCAGGCTTGAGTGTTCGTTCTTTCTTTCTTTCTTTTTTTTTTTTTTTACATTTTTCTTCTGTAAAAGGATAATGGTGACATCATTTCCATTGGGTTGAAAATAACAGGCACCTGTACACACATTGCAGGCACCCCCTCAGTGGTCGGTGAGCTTTTCCACCCGGCATCAGAAGGAGTGGATCCCCTGGGCTTTTGTGACCTTGACATCTCTGAGCATCAGTTTTCTTCTTTGTGAAGCGGGCACACAATGCTCAGCTCCTTGAGTGTCTGCAGGGTGTATGTACCTGGTGTGCGGCAACCAAGTGGACACTGCCATGAAGAAATGCTGCCTTCCCTCGCCCCGCCCCTCTCGTCACGGGGCACCGCTTCCCTCTTTAGGAGACCCTCTGTGCCTCGTCCTCACCGCCCCGCGGCAGTGTGCATCCCTGACCGCCGTGGGCTTGCGGCTTTCGGCCATACCTGTCAAGGGGAAAGGACGGCAGCGGCTGCGCTCCGGGTTCGGGGAGCAAAAACTACAGTTCCCAGCCTTCCCTGTGCGGCCACTGGGGCCGGACCGAGGGCGTCAGGCCCCTCCTTTGGGGAGGGGCCTGGGAGGGGGCGGAGTCAGGGGGTGGTTGGAGAGTTAAGCCAAGCCAATGAGACCAGCTGCTAATAAGTGGGCTTGGCTTACAATATAACAGTGGCAGGAGGAGGAGAGCAAAGCTACCGAGCCAGCGAGGAGTGAAGCAGAGCCCGGCCTCACGCGCGCTAGAGGACCACCTCCTGAGACAGAGTTCTTTCCCCCTTCTTCTCGCCCTGCTCCCCTTCTGCCCTCCCTGCCTGCCCACTACAATGCATTCTTGAGTGGCAGCGTCTGGACTCCAGGCAGCCCCAGAGAACCGAAGCAAGCCAAGGAGAGAGGACTGGAGCCAAGACACTCTGGTGGCGGAGCTTGGATGCCTGGCTTTCTTTGAGGACATCTTTGGAGCGAGGGTGGCTTTGGGGTGGGGTGTTGTGCTGCAGGGAATCCAGCCAGGCCCCAAGATGGACACTTCTGGGCACTTCCATGACTCGGGGGTAGGGGACCTGGATGAGGACCCCAAGTGCCCCTGTCCATCTTCTGGAGATGAGCAGCAGCAGCAGCCACAGCAGCAGCAGCTACCACCGCCGCCAGTGCCACCAGCAGCCCCCCAGCAGCCCCCGGGACCCTCGCTGCAGCCTCAGCCTCCACAGCTCCCGCAGCAGCAGCCGCCGCCGCCGCCGCCACCGTCGCATCCCCTGTCTCAGCTCACCCAACTCCAGAGCCAGCCCGTCCACCCCGGCCTGCTGCACTCCTCTCCCACCGCTTTCAGGGCCCCCCCCTCGGGCAACTCCACCGCCACCCTCCACCCTTCCTCCAGGCAAGGCAGCCAGCTCAATCTCAATGACCACTTGCTTGGCCACTCTCCAAGTTCCACAGCCACAAGTGGGCCTGGCGGAGGCAGCCGGCACCGGCAGGCCAGCCCCCTGGTGCACCGGCGGGACAGCAACCCCTTCACGGAGATTGCCATGAGCTCCTGCAAGTACAGCGGTGGGGTCATGAAGCCCCTCAGCCGCCTCAGCGCCTCCCGGAGGAACCTCATTGAGGCCGAGCCCGAGGGCCAACCCCTGCAGCTCTTCAGCCCCAGCAACCCCCCGGAGATTGTCATCTCCTCGCGGGAGGACAACCATGCCCAGCAGACCCTGCTCCACCACCCCAACGCCACCCACAACCACCAGCATGCCGGCCCCCCTGCCAGCAGCACCACCTTTCCCAAAGCCAACAAGCGGAAAAACCAAAACATTGGCTATAAGCTGGGACACAGGAGGGCCCTGTTTGAAAAGAGGAAGCGACTGAGCGACTATGCTCTGATTTTTGGGATGTTTGGAATTGTTGTTATGGTGATAGAGACCGAGCTCTCTTGGGGTTTGTACTCAAAGGTAGGGACTGTGGTTTCTCTTTATACCTTGAACAAAAGGCATCTGTAGGTATCGAGAGAGAGAGAGAGAGAGAGAGAGAGAGAGAGAGAGAGAGAGAGAGAGAGAGATTGACTGGGAGAGAGGAGGTGGTGGTGGGGAGAGGCGTTTGCTCAGTTATATTGAACACTCTAACTTCCCATGGTTTTCCTTCTTGATCCCGGGAGAATTCATTCCTCCCTTCCCTTTGGGGGGGACATCCCCACACACTGTGCCTAATTTGCCCACCGTGGTCGTGAGGATGAGAGAACCCCTTCTGAGAAATCGTTTCTCCTCCTGGCTCACTCGTACTGAAGCATAACCCAGCAGCTTAACGCACCAATTAATTACACACAGCCTTGACGTGTTTGCCAGTTCCTGCGACTTCCCCTCCTCGCCTCCCCTCCCTGCTCCACTCCATTTTCCTGAGGATAAAAAAGAAATAAATGCCTGGGTGGGGGGTGGGGATTCCGTCCCCTTGCCCTGGTCCCTTCCCTTCCTGTCCTCTCCCTCTTCCCAAGTTACTGCTTCCCTCTTCTTCCTGGAGGACTCGGGCGAAAGAGGAAAGCACCAGCGCCGGTGACCTAAGTCTCCGGAGGGCGCGGGGTGAAAATACAGGTGCAGGAAACCGGCAGTCCCTCCACTCCCTGGGGAAGGAGGACTGGGACTGAACCTGACACTACCTCGTAAACATCCCCTGATAAAAATGGCTACAGGTGTTCCCCGGGCCGAGCAGATGGGCGCCGCCTTGGCATCAGCGAGGGGAGCGCCCTCCGCGGGGTGGGATGACAGGGCTTCCCCCGCGTCCCCGTGAGCCCGCGCCCCCAGCTCAGCCCCGGCGCTTCCCTCCCGCCCCAGCTGCTTCTCCTCTGGATAAATAGAGATGAGTGTGTGTGTGTGTGTGTGTGTGTGTGAGTGAGCGAGTGAGCTGGGTGGAGAACGGCAGGCGTAGGCTTCAGGGGGAGCTGGCCCCTCTGCTCCAGTCTCTCAGTGCAGCCCCAAGACTGACGAGGGGGCTTCCCTCCCGGAGGGAATGCAGATGGAGGAAGGTGGGTCCCCATGGGTGTGATGCTTGCCGGGAGCCCTCCTGTTGCGAACTGCAAGGCTTGGAGACCTGGGGAGTCGCAGGACAAGTGGCCTTTCCATGTGTGCATGTGCGTGCGCTTGCTTGTTGCTTGGCTTTACTCTATTTATTTGTCATTTGGGGCAGGGGGTGGCTGGGCTGGCCGGCGGGGTAGCTGGGAGGGATTCAGCTGTTGAGGTTTCAAATAGAGCTTGTTTCAGGCCAGGCGCAGCTGCTGCGAGACTGTCACATTCCTTGTTGAAATCCAGCCGCAAAAACCTGGGAGGTGCTGATCGGATTTCCCCCATTCCCAGCATCTCGCTTTAACCGGGGATGGGCAGGCTCGCTTGCCCTGGAAACGGGCGGGGCGGACCTGTTGGCCGACCTGCATGGCAGAACACAGATTTCCAGGGTCCCCGCTGCTCCAAGGGGGCCGTGCCTGCTGCTCAAGGCTGAGCCCCTGGGCGAGCAGAAGCGTGGGGGTTTCCCCTGGAAGCGCAGCTCACTTAGTCATTCCCTCTAACGAGAGCCGGGAGCCGTGGAGCCCGCGGGTCCTTCTGCCCGCTGCCTTCTCAGAACTGCCTCTCTCGCGGGGTGCTCCCAGGGACGGGGCTGGCTGCTGCCTGGACACAGCCCTAAGCCCTTCCAGTCACACCCTGGAGACCTGCAAACCCTTGCTGGGGGAAACCAAGGATGGCCTAAGTGCTGGGGGGCAGGAGGAGAAGGGGTGACAGCAGCACCTCCAATTATAGTGGCCCCCATGGTCAGAGTGCTTCAGGAAGTGGCTCTTCCTGGGGATGGTGGCTGTATGAGGTTCCCATCATGGGAACCACACGTGGCTGTGTAACACAATGGAAGGAACACGTCCTCTCCCTGCCTGGGGCAGGAGGCACCCTGATGGAGTACTCAGGGAAAGGCTTTTGCAGGCCTGGGTGACAGAAGCAGACTCCAGGTGAACCAAGGGCAAGGCCACCAAAGTGCTTGTTCCCCATCTCCATTACTGACCGACTGGCCCATGGTGATCTGGCAGCTGAGCAGATCCTGCTCTGCCCCAGCCGGTGGGGTGGCTGCTTCCTGTGCACCTTGTGGCTGGTGCATGGCAAGCAGGGCTCCCTTTAACAGATCCTGCATTCCACCTGGCTGTCTGTTCTTTTGAGTCATGTCTTCCGGGGGCCTCCCATGTGCCAGGCCCCGTGGACACAGGCTGGGGAGCAAGGCACGTATCCCTATCTCTCCTGGAGGTAAATGGGATCATATTAAAGAATCAGGCCACAGTTGGAGTCCAGCCCTGCCACTAGTGGTCTTGTGATCTTGGACAAGTCTTATAGCTTCTGCGAGCCAGTCTTCGCAGCTGTCAAGTGGGGAGCATTATACTGGCTGAGTGTCAGGCACTCCAGACGGCGCCTGCTCAGTGTATGGACTCCATTGTGATTGGAGTTAGTGATGATAATGATGGGAGGAAAAGAGAGGTCTTTTCCCTCTGTTATTGAATAACACTTGCTCCAAAACTGCTTGGGGCCTTCCCAGATTGGGACTAGGATTTGTCAGCAGAGTGAGAAGTTGTGTGTTGCAGGGGAGAGGTGCTGAGCCAGGGCTGAATCTCAGCAGAGACCACCCTGTGAATGTGGGCCTGATGCTGGGGAGGTGAACATCCATCTCCCAGCCTCACAGAAGCCATGGACCCTGTGAGAGGGGAGTTTGGGTTAGAAGAAAGAGTTACCAGCTGGGAGAGTGCAGAGACAGGCTGTGCTGTGCCTTGTGGGAGAACTTGGTGTGCTGGGTTGGTTTTGCTTGCCAGTCTGGAGGCGGGAGGATGCACCGGGTGACAACAGGTCCTGGGTTAGGCTGGGTAAGTCTGCCTGGATGGTGGCAGTTCCCATGCAAAGACCCCAGAGCCTGGGCTCACATTTCCCCAACGATAGGAGACTTTGAGCCTGGGCTGATGCTTTTCAGGCTCCCTCTTATCCCGCGGGCTTATGGTCTTGTAGGTCGCGCCTGTCGCTGGCTGCCGTATGTTGTTAGGAATAGAATAGGCCCTGGGCTCTTGGAAAGGAACCTGGCATGTGCCCCAAGCGTGTGTGCAAAGTTCAGGCACCAGAAAGCTGGAGTGAGGAGGCTGAACAGCCAGGACTGCACGATCCACAGCTCCCACCCTCCTGGGCTGTAGGCGATGACACTGGGAAGAAGTGCTGAGCTGCGAGGGAGCCGGGGTGGGAGGTGGGATTTGCTTCCCAGGAGAGATGTTCGCTGTTGGCCTGGGCTGTGGGGAAAGGCAGAGGGGGTGCCTTGGATAGCCCCCAGGTGCTCCTGGGTACCCAGAGCTGAGTGTGTATGTATGGTTTTTTTTTTTTTTTTTTTTTTTTTTTTTGACAGCCAGAGTGGACAGTGAGAGAGAGAGAGAGACAGAGAGAAAGGTCTTCCTTTGCCGTTGGTTCACCCTCCAATGGCTGCCGTGGCCGGTGTGCTGCGGCCGGTGCACCACGCTGATCCGATGGCAGGACCAGGTACTTATCCTGGTCTCCCATGGGGTGCAGGGCCCAAGCACTTGGGCCATCTTCCACTGCACTCCTGGGCCACAGCAGAGAGCTGGCCTGGAAGAGGGGCAACCGGGACAGAATCCGGCTCCCCGACCGGGACTAGAACCCGGTGTGCCAGCGCTGCAAGGTGGAGGATTAGCCTAGTGAGCCGCGGCGCCGGCCTGAGTGTGTTTTTAAATAAGTAGATTCACCCTGAAGGCTTAGGTGCTGCCACAGGGCTGGCTGGGGATCCTGCCTGTCAGTGCTGGTCGGGGGCAGAGCCTGGAGGATCTTCACTCTCTTCTGGGGCACAACACACCATTGCCTTAAACTGCTGCTGGGCCCTCGCCACTGGGGGTGGAGTGTGTGTGTGTGTTGAGTCCTCCTTCTCCTCCCCAGGCTGTGGAGATCACTCCTGCCACCGTGTCCTTGGTCGTGGGCTGTTGTTTCGACCTCCTTTCTTGGGGTCTCCAGCTTTGGGTTGTGGGTGCCCCCTCAGGCTGGCTGGAACAGTAAGTGCAGCCAGGCAGCTCTCCCTTCCACCAACCTCGGAATCCACCACGCCCACCCCAGCCTCAGTCCATGTGCATTTCACCTCCCAGGCAGAGACCATCCTCTGTCTGCCTGGCTCATGCCTCTCCTGTCTTCCCCACCAACTTCCTCCTCTCTGCTCCTCCCTGCCACCCCTGCAGGTTGCTGGGGTGAGCCAGGTGCAGAAAGCAAAGCTGGTGTGAAGATGCTCACCTGGGCTGCTGTCCCCTTGGTGGCTGCTCTTCTCACCTCTTGTTACCCTTCTTCTGGCCACCTCGTGGGAGGGCACGCTCTTTAAGGAAAGCGGTGTCCCTTAGGGCCAAGGCCAACTTGGAGCCATCTCTTTGCTTACCTGAGAGGCCAGTGGGCCGCCCCCAGGCCACAATCTAAAGAACCAAGCTGTATCCCAGTTGTTCTTTTTTCTTTTTAAAGATTTATTTATTGGAAAGGCAGAATGAGAGAGAGGAAGAGAAAGAACTTCTGGGAGAGAGAGAGAGAAAGACAGACAGACAGACACATCTTCTATCTACTGGTTCACTATCCAAATGGTCACAATGGCTGGTGCTGGGACAGGCTTAAGCAGGGAGCCTGGGTCTCCCACGTGGGTGGCAGGGGCCCAATCACTTGGCCCAAACTCTGTAGCTCTTCAGGCACATTAGCAAGGAGTTGGATTGGAAGTGGAGCAGCTGGGACTCACACTGGTGCTCATATGTGATGCAGATGTCACAGGCTGCGGCTTAAACTGCTGTGCCACAGCGCTGGCCCCTCCCGGTTCATCTGAGCTCCGACCCTCCCTGGGGAGGTCTTGCCTGAAGCAGGGCAGAGCAGCAGCTGGGTGAGGCTGGGTGGGTGGCTGTGCACCTCCTGCTCAGACC